GTTCTGTGCTCGCTCCTCCTCCCGTCGACGTCGCTCTTCCACGCTTTCCGGGCTGTCTTCGTTTTCCTCATTCTCCAGCGCAGCAAACACTTGCTGAAGTTGTCTGATCTCGACTCTGTACTCATCCAGCTGCGTCTTGAGGTGCTTGCTTTCTTCTTCAATGCGTTGCTTCTTCTTGGCCTCCTTTTGCAGTGCTTCTTTCCGTCTTCTCTTGGCTCGATCCGCCTTGACGGCCTTCTCCTGGGCGATCTCCTGGTCCAAAGCCTCCACCTGGTCGTCCAGCTCCTTGAGCATGCGCGCGTATTCCTCCTGTATGTCTGTGTTTCTGCTCTTCACGAGATCCCAGAACTGCCACAGTATCCGTCAGTCTCCTATACCTCATTCTAAAGCTAAAGCGGGTACGTTCTCCGAGCGACGGCGCAGTTCTTTCTCCAGTCGCGTCTTGGCGACTTCTAGGCGCTCGGTGGCCTCCGTCCCCTGCTCAAACACCTCCTGGAACTTCTCCTCCAGCGTACGCGACTGCCGCGTCTGGTTCGCCGGCACCGCCGTCAGTTTGGACGTCAGATGCGGCATCCCAGAAGCCGGTAGCTCCTGTTGCATACGAGCTACAGCCTGGCCCAACATCGCGTCCGTCGATCGGAGCTGTAACAGCAACAGTAACAGTTAGTGAGAAGCTCAGTCGAGTGGAGCCATTGCAGACCTTGTCGCTGCATGCCGCTAGCTGCAGCACACACTTGAGCAAGTCGTCCGACATCGAAATGAATCGGAGTGTGCAATTTGTGCAGGTGGATACAGTTTTGGTAATTGCCTCCAAATCACAAATTGCATTTATGCGGGGACGTTTTAAATCATGTGTTCTTTTTCAAAATAGCCATGCTAGAAGGTCATGCATGATAAGCACGTTGTCAAGGTATCGTACAGCTCATGAACTTCAAAACGGCCTTGTCTGACCTTGTTGATCACGGCGTTGAGCCATATCCCGCGGGTGTACTCATTCACGGATGTGACAGTGTAAACTTGGACTAAAGGTCGCACTACAAACAATCACAGTACAAAATCAGTTGTAAGCATCAAAACGAACTTTACTCTAAGTTGTGGTGGGATTGGTCCAATACAACGAGATCTATCAAATTAGAACCGTCCTTAGTAGTCTGAGGCGCTGGAAAAGTCGATCAAAAACCTACAACAAGATCAAGTTCTTTTGTTGGAGCCCATTACGAAGTTTGCTAATCGTACCGAACGCCGCCAAAATAACTGTTTTGAGAAGATAAGATCGAATCATGAGCAGTTAGAAGAAGTAATCAGACAGCTGCCAGACCTTGCACACCATAATGGGGCAAGAGAGATCACTCAGGAAGCTGTAATTACGCAGCTACACTCAGAAGTTACGACACTGAAAAATCAAGTCCAAGTCCTAGTAGCCAACACCGATGCGCTGACCACAACCGAAGTCCCTTGGGTGCTATCAAGACCCCAGGTGTCGAATGGAACGTGCTCGGGCCAATGTCAGTGAACACACCAGTTTTCGGCAGCAACGAACTGGAAGTGAGAGTGACAAAATGTCACAAACAACGAGAATCTCTTGTAAATAGGATAAAGATTTGTGACAAGTCACGTCAGGAGGACTTGGTGGTTCAGTATTAGTTTGCATCCAAGGTAATCGCCCAATGGACACGTACAATGTCGAATTTAGCAGACTAGCTTGCACAGCGGGCGTATCCGAGAACATTAAAATCTCCCGATACAAACAAGGACTATCGTCGATGCTAGTGTTGAATCTACTCAAGGGACACAGAAAAGAATGCTGCTGGATGCTTTATCCAGAACTACAGTCAAAGTGGTTAAAAGATATGGGCAAGAAGAAAGTGAATGCTACCACTGCAACTTTGGAAACAACGAAGTATGTCGGAGAAGAAAACTCTGGCCCATCCTCACTGCGATACAGCGTGGCCTTGCAAAATTCAAGAGTAGTTTATACTAGTTGGCCCTGGGGATGGCATCCCAAGGCCAAATGTAGCCACCGTTAGCCACAATAATTGGGTCGTTGATCATTGCAATATAGCTAGCTCATTTTACTTTGAGCGGCGACGCGAGCCAAACCTGCAACGTATTTGATAAAAAAAGGTGAGTTGTGTGTATGGAGATGAAATCCAGATTACGAAGACGTTCTTCGACGAAGGTGCTGACTTCTGCGGAATATCAAAAGAATTCGTTGAGAAAATGAACTGTTGGATATTGGTAAAAGACTTGTGCTCGATGAAGAAGATGACGTATGCTAATTGCAAAACGGAAGTCACAAGGAATCAAACAATTCGGCTCACAGTGTTCATCGACAGTATTCCAGGATATTCTACAGACTTTCAGCTCTGTCACATCTTTAACCAGTGCAAACTAATGCTAAGCGTTCCTTGGAAAAATGCAAGAAATCCTGTTATTGACTGGGAAACTGATCGTATTTACACCAAAGAAGAATTTGCCAAAGTGTCTTTACCTCAAAGCAGGTAGCTAGCATTGGTGAAGAACGCAATTTAACTGTTGTAGACAATTTGGAGTAACTAAGGTCATCGATTTGAAACATGTTGACAAAGTCGTGCCAAAGAAGGAAGGAGCTGTGGTGAAATGGATCGGAAATTCCACGTGAATAGAATTGATTGTTTGACGGAAAGGCAACAAGGGCATTATCCGGAACAATGACCATATATCCGGATCTGGCTGATCCGGATCCTCCATGAGAATTGATGACTAGTGGCGAGCACGGATTCGTGGAAACAGGAATACAAGGGATGAGGACATAAAGGTATAACCGAGGATGCGGTATGGGAAGGCTCGGATCTGCGTGTGGGGAAAGTTTGTAAGTACCAGGAAATTTCGGCGGGTTCGCGGTACCAGATCCGCAGTGAAGTATCAACACCGGGTCGGATCCTGAATTTGTGTGGATTAAGGAACCTCTCGAGACTACGGATCACGAGGTTTTGATGGCCATCAAGGAAGGTCAAGTGAGGATCCGGATCCGACGGATCCGACATTGGAGTGTCGACATCAGATGAGCCAGATCTACAGGGAAACATGAAGACTGGGCCGGATCCTGAACACATTGGGATCGAGGGATCTCCAGGGACTACGCTCCTCCGGTAACTGCAGGATATTGTCCAAGTGAATGAAGATCGAGCGTCTTGGCGAGTCGCAGGGGTGTGATTGGCAGCGCAGAAGTTTTCACTCTGTTGCCGGTTATAAGGATCCGGTATCTACACGAATATTCGAGAGTAGATCACTGGTGGCCGGATCTGGCATTTGTTTGTCTCCTGCCAAACAAATGCGAGCGATCCCGATCCAAGCTGCAGACTCCGGATCCGATACTTCCGACGGATCAGACGGATCCGACTCCGAGATGGACAGTCGTCGCCTGATCTACCTCGTCGCGAGTCAAAACGTCGCTCCGAAGGAGGGAGGCGAGACGATCATGCCGGATCCGGGTCATCTGGATCCGTGGTCCATGAACCATAATCACCAGGAGCACCGATCCAAGATCCAGGGTGACGGATTCAACCGTAGCCGATGCTCGCACTGCGGATCCAAGAACGCGAATATCGGATGCTAGAGACGCGTGAGTTGTACCAAATGCGGTAAACGAGGTCATCCGGCGGATCATTGCCTTTTTGTGTGTCGCGGATGGGCGAGCTCGATGATGGAACATGATCAAGGCCATCAAGATCACAACCTGAAGATCCACGGTAATGGTTTTAACCGCGATCGGTGTTCACACTGCGGATCCAGAAAGCACTAGGATCTTGGTTGCTGGAGGCGCGTTACGTGGACGAAGTGCGGCAAGAGAGGACATCCCTCGGATCACTGCCTCTTCGTGTGTCGCGGATGTGGAGAACTGCATGACATGGGAAAATGTCTGCCCGATGGAGGAGTTTTACAACCAGATCCGTCAATAGTTCAATCCAACCAAGCACATGAGAATGTTGCCAGAAGTTGCCGAAAGATGTTAAACGAGGACGTTCGTCGGGGTGGAACCCGATACGAGCCGAGCGTTCTAGATATTGCATTATTGTATTTGTACATAAGACATCGGTAGATCAAGTTAGCAAGCAGCGAGATCTACCCGATAATATACCTGCATGGGAAACGCACCTCCGCAATTTCAAGTCTTCGCCAAGTCGACGAATATGCCAGATCTGAAGTGTGGGAATTATACCTTCGCGATATCCAGTCTTCGCAAAGCTGATGAATATGCCAGATCCGATGTAATTATGACTATGGATCTTCACCCAGGAGAATCCAGAGGTTACCGGAAGCAGCAGGATCCGGATCTGGGGTTAAAACCTGCGGATCAGGCAATTACAGCCGAGATCACGAAGTCTAGTCGGATTGCAGAGTATCGAAGATCCTGATCCGCGTCGACATTGGATCTCCTACTGGGAGAATCCCGTGGATACTGGAAACACCATGCTCCTGGAAAATGGTTCCGTCAAGCCAAGATCACAGGCAAGATCCACAATGAGAAGGCGATCTTACTCGTAGATACCGGCGCCGAGGTGTCCATCGTGGACACCGCCTTTGCTAGTAAGGTTGGGTGCTACATCGACTCGAGCCAGATCCAAGATTGTGTGGGATCAGCGACAACGTGTATCGAACGGAATCAAGAACGCGGATCAAGGTAACTCTCGCAGGATCGTTGGTTTATTTCTTCGATATCTGGGTGGGAGATCTCCCTGGCCAAGAAGCTATCCTCGGCATGGACTTCATGGTTCCGGCCGGGATACGCTTGGATCTCGCTCACGGATCAATCAGCTTGCCCGACGAAGTCCGGATCTAGCTTGGCGGAAGGCGACAGTTTTACAGCGACCATGCCAGGATCGTGAACCTCGGGCCATACCTGAGGATCAGTGGAGCTCCCATTACGCCTGAGGACCTCGGATCATGAAAAATTCTGGGTCACCCGTGGAGATCATTTGGTCCCCACGATAGTCAACGGCCCACGGAAGATCCGACGCATGAGGATCACGAACGTCGGCGACAATGTGTTGATCCTCCATCAGGACCTGCGGATTCGGGATCTGGCTGGACGGCGATCATGTCCCGCGACTACAGGGCTTGATTTCAATGGGGTCCCGGCGCTATATGGAGTAGCAGAATCTGGCTCTGGAAGCGACTGTGGATCCCCGATCTGCGGATCCGGAAGATCCGCCTTTGCCTGCGGTGGAATGCCCCGAGTACGGAACTCCGCGTGAAATACTGCAACGGTCAAGACCGACGATGATCAAGTGTCCGAAGGGCAGATCAAGTGAAGATCAAGAGGTCTTTGACCACTCGTCTTCGGACAATCCGCGACCATTGGATTCAGCGTCTATCGCAGATGACGACTCTATGTCACAAGTCGCAACGGTTGTGGAGGCGTTGGACGATCGGGATCCGGGCTCATCAGATATTCTAACGGCAGACCCGGCTCCAGTTGAAGCCCTAGCCTTGGATACTGTATTGGCAGATGAAAATCTAAGTGGTGCAATCAGAGTAGATCAAAATCCGCCATTCCAAGAAGTCCAAGATCCAAAGGTGGTGACGTTGAAGGGTGATGGGTTTGACCCATCACCCTTTAACGTCACCACCTTTGGATCTTGGACTTCTGGAGGATCTGAAGTCTACGCTACGGTATTTTTCACTGGATATGGCGAGCGGATTTTGGGTGGTAAAGATGCCGGATTGGACCCGCCTGATCTCGGCCTTTATCATCCCATTTGGACTTTTCGAGTAGAATCGGATGCCTTTTGGGCTGAAGAATGCGCCGCAGATCTATCAGCGGACGATCCACAACGCAATATATGGGTTCACCCGGATCCCGAAATTGACAAGTGATCTGGAATGTCTAGATGTATTCGAGGCTGGAGAACCTGAGGATCCGGGCAAACCATCAGTGCTAGGACGCAGATCCTACATCGATGACATCTTAGTACCAGCGAGCAATTGGGATGAGCTATGCGATCGTGTTAAAGACCTTTTGGGGGCGTGCGACAAATAGAACCTGCTGACCAGCGTCGACAATAGTTTCTGGTGCATGCCCAAGGTGGAATATCTTAGTCACACGGTATCGCATGATGGACGGGAGGTGAATCCGAACGATCTGTCGGCTTTGGCGGATCATGGTTTCCCGGATCCTTGCGTGCTATGCAATCCTTTTTGGGCAGTCTGAACTATTATAGTCGCTTCATCGAGGATTATGTAATCTACGCGTCTGTACTATATGAGCGGAGGGATATCGACTATGCTGCGATGGAGAAGGACATGAATCGAAGCCAGATCCAGCTAGCACTAGCGTCGGAAACTCCGGATCCGGAGGTACTGACTGAGGATCAGATAAGTTCTCAACCCTCGGATCCGGACTCGTGAGGTCCAAATCTCGAACCTAACCAGCAAGATCCGGACCTAATGTCATGGGATCAGACGTGTGACAACTCGAAGGTCGTGGATCGGAGGTGAATAACCTCGCGGATCTAAATTCTCGTTGGATCTATGCCCATAGATCCTTCAAAGTGTTAACGGAGAAGGTCGCGACAACGCCGATCCTACGTCACTTTGATTCGGATCGGTGGTTGTATATGTCAGTGATTGGGCGATCTCCGGTGCATTGATGCAGGAGTATGGTCAGATCTACTATCCAGTGATGTTTGCGAGATGTTCAACGAGTTAGAATACGGGATCGCAGAGAAGGAGGTGTTGGCATTGTTGCGGATCCTGGATTTCAACTATAATACTTTGGTTAGGAGACTGATCCGAGTGGCGACGCGACATTCTATACTGACTTGGCTGTTTAGATCTACTGCATTACAAGGTCGCCTGGGACAGTGGGTCATTTTGCTTTCACCCTGGGTCCTTGAGATCGTCAAGTGTAACAAGAGCGAGGATGAGATCATGGGCACATTAGCAGCCAGTATCACCCCCAGATCCGAAGTCGACAAAGCGCTGATCTCGATCGCCCCGAAGATGGAGCCGAGGCGCAAGATCCAACCCCCGATCCCGATAGTGAGGCCGGATGAGGATCTATATGTCGCTAGCATTGACGGATCCGCCCGTGTCAAGCGAGGTGGAGGTGTCTATAGCTCGATCCTGTGGAAACTACCTGAGAGGACTGCGCTGAAGGCTAGATCCGGCTATGCCGAAGGCTTAACTGTCAATGAAGCGTATATCATGGCATTTTGTTATGTGTTGACTTGCTAGAAGGGGCGGACCCGTTACGACTTGTGATCTGTGGCGACCCAAACTTGGTGATCCGCCAAGTTAGAGGTTAGATCGACTGCAAGGCGCCTGGACTGACACTACTAAGCCGGAAAGCGTTGGACAGACTCCGGATCCGGCCGGATCATGAGCTGGTTCATGTGAAGCGAGATTGGAACGGAAATGCAGATAGTCTGGCTAGTGCTGCACTGCAGCGACAATGTGGGGTCGAGATCGAAACCGATAGTGAGATCCAGGATCTGATCACGTTGAACCGACTCGACGGGATCCTGATAGTGAAATCTGAAGATCCGGCAGTGCAGATCGCGGCTGGAACAACTCCGATCCGGCGCGAGATCGTGATCCAACCCCCATGGGATGTGTGAAAAAGTGGTCAGAGAGCTTAGGATCGAGCGGATCCGACAGACACAAGACGAGGAGGTGTAGACCCATGATTTGAAGAAATACCTGACCGGCGAAGTACGTGATCTGACATAGGAAGAGGCTAGACGTTACGGATCCATTGCTATAAATTATGAAGTGGATCAGCATGATCTCCTTTTCTATTGCCCTACTACTAAAAAATCGACTGTGGGTCGGGACAAACTGATGCGACTGGTGCTACCTGAAACTTTGCATCAAAATGTTCTACACAATTATCATATCACCCTTCAAGGTGGACATCAGGGGATCGGCCGTACTTACGATCGGATCCTGGATCATTTTCAGTGGAGAGGATTGCAGCGTGCACAGAGATGTCGGTGAATGGGTAGACTGTGAGACGGGAAAATAGCGACCGCGGATCCAAGGCGAATTGCCGGGCAATCTTCAAGCGACTTATCCGTTCCAGATCATCGCTATGGATCACATCCCCTCAATGTCTAGATCCTATAAGGGTAACACCGAGCTGTTGATCTTCGAGGATCTCTTCTCTGGTTACGTGATCGCCCAGGCGAGCGGATCCAGGGCTGCTCAGACTATGACAGAGTCCTACGAGGAATGCGTGTTCCGCCAATTTGGTGTCAGCTAGGTGATCCGCCACGATCGGGAACCCGGATTTATGTCCGATTGCTTTCGCGCGTTTATCAAGATCCTGGATCAGCGTCAACGTGCAACAATGACAGGCGAACGGATCCGCGGAAAGAATGCTGCAGACCACTCAAAATGTATGTAACGGGGTTACACAAAACTCTAACCACAATTAACCGGTTAGAGTTCA